ATAGGTACTGCTTCTGGCCATTGAGTGAATTCAAGAAACTTGGTTAAATGATTAGCAATAAATGAACATATGTTTGAGGACGTTAGATCCCCAGAACTCACTTGGAAACGTCCTAATTTTGTAATTTTATTTTAAAATTTTGAATTTTCTTGTTTTTTGCACCAAAAGCCTTTTTTCACCTTCATGTTGTGCTTCTCACTTGGGGAAATTTTAATCGTTATTGGTCCGTTGCGTCTTTTAGTATGCTATTTTGTAACCCTCCTCAAGGACGGGTTTTGTGCTGTATACTTAAGCTTTGATTTTCGTCTGCAGTTATCGCTCGTGTTTCTGGCTTTTTGTGAGATATACCCCCCTGTTCAGACTTCGACTTCTCTCTCTAGTTAGCGGAGCCAGGACGCAACAGAATATCGAATTTGGTGGTCTTTTGGTCACAAGTCTTTGCACCGTTTGCAGACTAGGTGAACTCGTAATCGCTTCAAACCTCGCACAAAGTAATCCGTAACAGTTTGCTTACAGATACGAGAGAAGCACTTTAGATGCCATTGCTGCTCTACATCACAATATAGTGTTTAGTTTACAAAAGAGTGAGAAACATATCCGATGCTCTTTCCTGAACTATAATTCTGGTTTCCATTCTATACCCCCAAGCTCCCAACTTTGAGAAAAATCCCCAAATTATGCATAGCGCATTATTTCAGAATAACAATTAATATCCATCATATTATTAAACCTTAAAATAATAAATTACATGAGGAGTTGCGTTTTTTAGAAGCTGCTTTAGATGACCTAAAGTTCCGGGATTATTTCGTAGGTTGTCACAGGTGTTTGAACAAATTTAAAGTGGCAAGATTAAAGGAGCTCCTATGTGATGATCCTCGTAAATCAGCGAAAGTTTGTCTACGTTACCTGCTTTTACCGGAACTAGCGAACTCTTACACTTTGCACGGAACCCAAAGTAAATTCGGTATTGGTAAGTATAAATTTTACTTGACGGTTCAAAGTAAGTCCACACTATTTTAATAACATTTGTAGGTGCTCTGTGTTCCCGTTTCCAAAGTGCGACACGTCCGAAAAAGGATATAATACACGCCATGAGTATAGCAAACCAGGCTTTCTTGCGTGACGCAAGAGATAAAGTAAATAAACGTGGATGGCGATCTAAAGTAAGGGTGAGCTATAACCACTTCACATGTTTATTATAATACATATTGCACTTTTAATATTCCTTTGTGGTCAATATTTACAGTGATACAACTTTCGTCTTGTCCGTCTTGCTTTCAGCTGGCTTCGCAGGTTTTATCAGACGTAACTGTAAGTCCTTTGTTCGCATTATTAACAACATTGTAATACTGTTGGTACATCATCGACGTTTCACATATCTTGACATTTGATTATAAACTAAAAAGTTTTTTTTTATTTTTTAGAACATTGTGAATGATAGTTCAACGTCTACGTAACGTGCTTATGTTACAAAGCCATGAAAAAACCTTGTATTAATAAATGTTTTGTAATTTTATACATCGTAATAAACGTTTCAATGTGTCACAAATCAGTCTTTTAATAACAGCGATAAATCGATTAATGTTAAGTTTCTTTGGCAATGCGTAATTGACGAAAAATAATGTAACATTCCAGCAAGAAATGTACTTATGTATTCTCGCTAGGTTTTCCATGATGTCTAGAGATTTTCGTAGAACTTTTGCGTTAACAAAGTTTTGGAAAAAAACCCCAACGTTTGGGAATATTTTGGGTTTTTCCCCAAAATTGTGAAAAAGTTTGGGGTTTTCTTAATAAACGTAGGCGCACTTCCCTAAAGTGTAATAAGATTCTGGATAAATTTTGAGGTTTTTGTGTCATTTCCCCAAAGTTTATTATAGCGGTTTCTCCAAAATTTGGGTATTGGGCCAAGACGATTTTTACTTAACAAGTTATTCAGCGTCAATACTGACAGCTGGATAACCAATTGGCTATGTCCTTACCTCTCTGGAAGAAAACAGTACACTGAGTTTGGAGGGAAATGTTTAATAAGTCTACTATTTCATAAAGATGTACTATGAGGAGCCGTTTTTTCACCTATTTTTTCTGCGTCATCTGCCATCTTCCACAGAAAACACTTGTGTAATATGTGAATGATCTCATTATATGTATCGAGCGGCGGTTTATTGTTAATGGTCTCATACTTAATCCATCTAAATTTCAAGCTGTCAACTACAGCCTGAGACATGGACAGCATCTAAACATCATTTTGAGATCCGTTAAGGCTTCTACCACTGAAGATTCTTTGTTAAACACGGTGTCGAAGGTCAATTATCTTGCTGTTACTTTGCCTCTGATCTCTTTTGATCTTCTCATGTTTTACTGTCATCGAAGGAAGTTTTCCGTCTGACTTACTACACAAAGAGGCTGCATGCTTTTGAGATTACTTGACATTTACTATTACAATTTGTCAATCCCTGTCTGTTATCTATTATTCTTTACCGTTCTCAATTTTTCTTTCACAAGCTTTTGAGAAAAGACTTTGCTGTAATGCGGAGAATGCTGAAGGCAGTTATCGAGGTGTGTTGAATCATTCGATAGCTTTATTAAAATGGTTATGAATAGACATATAAAGTCTTTGAAACTACCGGCAGGTGTTATCTTATCAAATACTAACCATCCCCTTTTCTCATGTCTTTCTCCCTGTATATCTTCTGGTAGAAAGAGACGTAACTGCATTAAAATACATGCAAGCAAGCCAAGGTATAAAAGTTCTAATACCTAATCTAGCAAATATGTTCCGTGACGAACAGGTTGTTAGGGTTAACCTAGTCAATAACCTGTATTTTTAAACATGTCTTTAATTTGGAAAGTTGTACAGATTCAGATCGTTTTTTCACCTTTTGTCCTTTCTTTTTTTGTGAGAGAAACTTGTTGAAATACCTCGTTCTGCAAATTCTATATTGTAACAGAATACAATTTTAATAAAGCCACTAATAATAATAATAAACGTTCCTATTTAACATTTTCTTGTTTATGTTCTCAATAACTGTATGATATATTTATTTTAGCAGATTGTCATTTAATAATTGGATAATTATGACTTATAGACATATATTTAGTACTCCGAGTCTGAACTTAACGGCGTTCGAACTAGTACTTCTAGTTGAGAATCGAATGTTTCATTATTTAGGTTTAAGTGAATGCAGATATCAAAAGGGTGAAGGGCTGGTGGAAAGGATTGTCCAGGACGGAGTTGAATGGAAGATACTGGTAAGCGGCCTATCCCGCTTACAAATCAATGTTTAGCCATAATGTGTTAGATAATAAATAACATTGTTTATTTAGGCTATGCTATTATGATTGAAAATTAATTATAAACACTTGCCTGACTGCTTGTTTTTATTTCATGATTTCTGGGAATATTACAACTTTATAAAGTGATAAATTTAAATGTGAAATTTTTGTTTTTTTGCTTTATTTCGTACACACTCCTGTTACTAATTACTTGACAGTGATTTTATGGATTGTTTCGCTATGGAACAAGAAATCCTAGCGGAATCCTATATGCGAAATGCCACTGACATAGTTTTGCCAACTGCAGCATCGAATGCAGATATTCCATCCTGTCTTCATAAATCCATTCAGCATACTTCAATCAGTATTGGTTCCATGAAAGCTGGTGTTTATCAGGTAGGCTCATCAATCAGCTGTAACAATGGTCAAAATACTGGAGTACTGTCAGCGAATTGTAGTGAAACCTGTACTTCAAGAAGTTCTGTTAATCAATTCACAGCTTTGTCAGACGACAGGAGTAAGTTGTAATAAATGTTCTTAATAAACTTTTTCTTGCTTATTTTCCTAAATTGTAAGGTATATTGATTTTAGCGAAGTGCAATTAATTATTGAATAAACATGACATAGAGCCAGATATTTAGTACCTCTATTTGAAAGTTGAGTGTTTCATTGTTTAGGGACGGCTAAACCAAAACGTGGCATCAATGCTTGAAGTTGCTAACTTCTGGTCTGAGCCATGTTGGTAGATGCAGACTACTTGGTTGGGGTCCGCGTGACTATCGTAATCAATGGTTGGAGACTCTGGGTGATATGGCTCAGGATCGATCACAACGGCGTCGGTGTAGACACTCTCTGTCCTCTCTTAATTTATTTATCTTAACACATAGGTATTGGTACAAGGAGGCACCAAATACATATGCGCCACACGAATCTCAATTGATTTGTGTGAGGGCTGTGATTCTGCTCGGGTGCCCAAACCGAAGCAGGGTCCTCTCTTAAACTAAGAGATTAAAATCGCTTTCTTTCTACGAACTAATTCTTTCTTCCTGTACTATATCCTTATATGCAATCTTTCTTCTATATATTACCACCACTGAATTAACTACTTCTATGAATCCAGTGTTCATCTCGCCGTGCAAATGCGGTATGGCAACTTGGACCGATGCATATATGTGCTTGGTCCTACGTTGCAGCTGACTGACCCAGCTTTTAAACGTACGCTACAGGACTGCCGTCTTCTGGCCAACTTCCAAAGCAAAACTTGATTACTGGGAAGCTAATGCAACGTGACTTAGGAAAATCTGCCCAATCAAAAGAACAGTTCCATAAGACTTCTTACTTGTGCAGCCTAGCCTTCGTAAGAACTGTAGCTACCACAGCTTATCTTACTTTGTCCGAATACATTTCTAGCTATGGAAAATCCTGTAACAAGTAGCAGAGACTCAGTGCACACAGTGAAACTAACTCTGTACATTACCTTAAAAAATCGACTACCAATTTTACAGCAGCACTTTCCCATAGAACATGAATCGTTTGTTGCGCACAGGCAGCAGATATTTTGTTCGGCGACCAGTGTAGTCCACTGCCAGGCGTTTTATTATTGATACTGACCCAAAGATACCATTATATAAACATCATATAAAGTCATCGGTTAGTAGTAATACAATACAACCTTCAATTTATTTGGAAAATAGTCTACAAGGATAAAATGGTAATTAAACAGCATTCTATTCATGGATCCAAGGGTCAACGGTTTGTTTATATTGACATAGTTCTTGTGGAGTAAACCATAAGTTGATTTCCCTCTTAGCACTTTCAGTTGAGTCTGATCCGTGGACAACATTTCTTCCTACATCTTGGCAATAGTCTCCCCTTATTGATCCAGGACAACTTGCTTCAGGTTTAGTAGCACCTAACATTGTACGTCCGTTCTCAACAACCTAAAGTAAAGAAACATGGTTAGTAGAAAATGAATGTTTGGTAATACGCAACGAAGAAATAACAAGTGGTAGAGGTTAGAAGCTTTCTCCATAGAATTAAAAGCACAGTAGATGTGGTCGACAGTAAGAGGATACTAGGTAGACACTGAATTAACTGTGAGACTTGTTCACACAGAGTGAGGTTTAAAGAGTTACAGTTTATGTTGAGTAATACTTCTGATACTGTTTGCTTAATCTAGCAGTCCTGATGACAAGACTTTTAGGATTATCGGTTTAGTGATCTTTGTACATTGAAGTTAAGAACGGATTTTATATCTAGCTTTCATCCTGCTGGTATAAATCGCCTTAGATGTATCACTACAAAATCTTAAAGTTACATGACAAACGAACAGAAAAAGAACAGTTGGTGCTAACATAAAACTTCAACTTAATTTTGATGGTCTGTCGTATTCGTTGAGTGGTAAAAAAAGCACTTCCGCTTATTACGGTATTGCATTAGGCATACATATTCAGTTGAAAGTCATCGTGAAGATTGGAAAACTGAAGGAGTGTGTGGTCATACTTGATGTCAAAACTTTTGTTTGATTTCGCAAAACTTCTCAGTCCATATGCAGATAACCAAGTTACAAAACCTGAATTGTGTTGTGAGCCTTCAAACTAAATTGAGAAGTGAAAACAAGAAAAAATATAGACATGTTTTCGCCTCTTCGTCGTATGTCCCCACACGTCCTGGTACGGACGAGAGTGGGGAGAGTCCGCTTTCCCTCTCGAAATACTCTCATACGGCCACGCGTATACAACCTCTTCCAGGGACGTCCTACTCACTGCCTTCTCGTGGCAGAGGTGTTTACGAAAATGAGAGGACGAAAAGCGAATGTACGGCGCTTCAACCGGATCCCAAACCAACGGTGTACATGGGCTCCAGTATCCTGATGGAACAAATGGCGTATGAACCAATCGTTGGTCACCGGCTACCATGGGACTGCATCTCCTTACGATGCTCCACTGCCTTGTGGGTCAGACGTTCAGGTCGAAGGCTCGGGGTGTGACCCCCTAAGAAAACCACCTGGTTTGGTTTAGGCACCCGGGCAGTATCACAGCCCTCACACATATCAATTGATATCTGTGTGCTGCATATGTATTTGGTGCCTCCTTGTACCAATATCTGTGTTAAAAATAATAAATAAAAATAAACTCTTCGTCGTATTCGCATACGCAATCATTGACTGCAATTCTGAAAGGATTTATGAAATATAGCTTTCTGCCCTATTACAAAAAGCTAAACGCTTGGCTGCAGTAATTGTAGTAAGAAACTTCAGCGATCAAGTTGGTAGTTTAAACCAGAGCAAGACAATCAGGTGGGTATCAACATTCAAGTTACCTGAACAGACAATGGCAACTTGCAGTCTTAATTATGCTCAGACAGCTACATGTGCACAGCAAGCACCAACTTTAAGTATAGGGACACTGTTTGAAATGGCGGACCCCACAATCGACAAATCGATCTTACAACCATCAGTGATCACTCAAGGGACCCGACATAAGACCGTCGATTATTTTGGAGGGCATGTCTAGACTGATAGTTATCGAACATGTGAAAGTGTTTGTTTTACTGGATAAAGAAAAGCCACGACAAAACCCTCTATAAAGTTCAAATTAATGACGAATACATCAAAAGTATATTTAAGGAACAACTAGAGGAGTAATTGGTCATTAGCCGAAGCAATGCCAACTCAGATGCGGGTCGACATTGCTTACACAGTCACGACATCGACAAGTGATTAGAATCAAAATGTTAGGAAGGCTCAAAAGGCTCTACTGAACCGACAGATACTCGGAAAGCCACGATGTAAGGCTACAAGCACGATTACGTAATCAAATGGTGGGCTGGTAACTCAGTGATCGTGAACAGCCTATGCGGAAGCAACGGAGAAAACGGGGGCGAAAGGCAACTGCAGACAAATCCTCAGCGAAAAACATTTAATACAAATTGAGTTTAGAGACCATCTATGGAAAAGACGAGACAATGAACCACCATTAACCCAGGCGACAGGGACAATGGGCAGAATATTGGAGACATATGTTTTCTCGAGGTGCCTACTCAATTCCCCAAGCAACATCAATGAGATGTCAAGAAGTCTCCTTGACGTTTCAGGAATCAGGGAAAGCCAAGCTAATTTGAGACGAGGAAGTGACAGGCCTTGATGGATTAACCCCGAAGACCCATAAGGATGATGGTTTATTTTCAGTCATTAGATTGAGATCATAGCTAGTCTCGACCACTCATTGCTTCAGTTTGTAACAGGATAAAACCCTTTTATGGTAACTACAGAAGAATCAGTTTGACACAGATTTTAAGACTTGACAATCACTTAAGGCTATACATGTCTCATGGAGAGAAATCTGGGAAAACCGGGCTGGTCTCATACCTAGATGTGTGGATAAAATATTCGCAATATTGCTCTATGTATAACTTCTATGTTTGGCAAATATTTGCCACGTCCATATAGATATACCCATGGACTCACAACCTCGGCTGTATTTATCAGCCTTAAGAATCCATTTTATTTTGTTGATCGTAAAATCTTGCGCAGTATCTCTAAAAGCATAACAAACAACAAAGTTAAATGGTTCAAGTTAGAATTTTACAAGCTCTAATCGAACACTACTAATGCAGTTAGAGCTCATTGCGGGCTGTCGTTGTAACTGATTACCTCAAGTAGTGTTCATCAAAACTGTCCACTTTCTTAATTTTAATTCAACTACCATAGACATGCTCTACGAATTTCCATGACCTTCGGGAAAACCCTAAAATCCGAAGATTGGGAGATATCTGGGGAGATGAGAAATATATAAAAGTTTTCGTCAAAGGTATCGCCTTTACTTACCTTACGCCCTTCAAATACCATTGGTACAACAGGTCCAGATGACATATACGCAACTAGTTTTGGAAAGAATGGGAAGGATTTCAGTGCCTCGTAGTGAGTCTGAAGCAGCTGTTCTGAGGCCTGCATCATCTTTATTGCAACAAGCTTATAGCCTCGCCTTTCAAATCGTTGTATAACCTCCCCAACAAGACCTCGTTGCACCCCATCAGGTTTGACCATTATGAACGTCTGTTCCATGATAAGATGACTGCCTCAAGTGAATTCGCGCCCGAATGATGCACATGAAAAGTGTATTCGAACAAAATCTCGACAATCGTTTATACATGCATGAACATTTTTATTACGACTGTAGTATTTCTTCATGTTTCAGCTCCATACAATAAAACTGTCTTTACGTTCATATTGAAAATTCTTTGGTGTTGGTTGGCAGTTGTTAATGGGAAATAGATTACTTGGAAACGCAGAAGAGTAGGAAAGATAACCATAACTAATGCCCGTTTACTTGATAAGTCCTTGGTGGACTCACAGACTACTCCAACAAAGTCCCAAAGTGAAGCCTTGTCAAACATTGTTGCATGTCACTCGCTCGACTCCCGTGATTCTGTTACAATGAAAAATAATCGTAAGATGCCAGTAGTTGATATGCAGGTTCTAACATCACGATCGAAGGCCGTGAACACGACTTCAAGAGAAGTTAGCCCCTTACTAGTTTAATTATTTGGAACTTAGAAGAGTCGAAAGACAATGATCCTGCTAAAAGACATGCACACAATCTGGAATTTGTGGAATCTGTAATAAGAAATGTACTACTTTGAAGAGGTTTCAGGGGTACATATCACGAAAGTAAATAGGTTGGGGACGGGACCCAACCAAGAATGATCTTGAAGTTGGTTCTCTGGAATATTGAAGAAAGAGATATAATATTGGAAAACGCAAAAAAGCTAGTGATCCAAATATTCGTATCCGACCAGATTGGATGCTTAAGGATCGAATCAAGTGGAAGAATTCTCTTACAGAAATAAAAACTTCAAAGTTAATTAGCGAAACTAATCTTACCATTAAGGGTTTTCGGGTAGTCAGGCCTTGGAAGCCAATGCTTCTGAGGCCTGCTTGAGTAAAACGGATGACTCCTAAAACATCTTAAATGTGTTCTACACGAACACCCGTTGTCTTAGAAATAAAACGTCCGAGCCAAGTCTGAGGGTGGACGAATTAAGTCCCGATATAACTGTTGCTACAGAAACTTGGCTCACCGTAGATAAAGAATGTTTTCCCATCATCGCAGGCTATATTTGTATCAGAAGTGATAGTTTTAAGTCGCGAGGGAGGAGGCATAATGTTATACGTTAGGGATCACTTTCTTATACAATCAGTCATATCGGGGGCGCATGTCAGTGGTACACGTGAGGCAGCATGTTGTAAAATTAAATCTAGAAATGGGTTAGTGACTATAGGAGGAATACACCGTAGTCCGTGTTGTCCTTCTGACAACGTTATCTTAAAACACATCTGTTCCTGGAGTACGGCAGAATGTTATCTCATCATTCAGGACTTCGACGCACCGCATATCAACTGGATAGAGCTTACAGCTCCAGGTGGTGGTTCTGATAGCGACTTTTTATCAACAACTATTCAGTATCCACTTGTACAATATATTGCGAAGCCGACACATTGCCTAGAAACATGATTCGTCACTGCTGGACCTTGCCCTCACCCAACACTGTGAGAATGTCTTTGATATTCAGCACCTTCCTCTACTAATGAACAGTGATCACATTGTAATTTACTTTAAGACACATGGTATACAATTTGTATCTGCCCCACCCCATCCCAATATCTGGCGAGCTAATATTCCGGCAATCAGAGACTGTGCTGTCTCGACTGATTGGTCGGTCGACGTGGATGGATCGATCGAAGACGAATGGAATAAGGCTACATATGAGTCCATAACATCACTATTTATCCCATGGTCAGCACGCAAGTTACCACATAGCTCTCCATGGATTAATAAGGAAACCCGGAAGCTGTCAAAGCGTAGGAAACACTTCAAGGACTCATTCTTGTTGACAAGTCACGCATCATTTAAGCGTCAGTACCAAAGCTTACGGAATATTTGTAAGAAAACCATAGCTAACTCCCATACTACTTACGAACGACAATTGGCATATGATAATCGTACTTGTCTGAAACGACTGTTTCCGCACGTTAAACGGCCAATAAATCGTAGTGATGGTATTCTCCCGTTACTGTTACACGAAAATCCAGATTTGCTAGCTGAATCAGATGGGGCAAAAGATGATGCTTTATCAAACTATCATAGTGAACAAGAGTTTCATAATAAGCTTTCATGCTCGACTAACTTACTTATTGCGAGAGAGGATTGGACAGCAGCCTTAGATAAAGGTCTGTCTGTCGATGTGATATTCATAGATTTTAGCAAAGCATTTAAGAAGGTTCCATACTTAGGTCTCATGCAGAAGCTCTCGAGCTTTGGAATAATAAGTAATGTACAGGAGTGGATAGGAAACTTCATATGTGATCGCAGACAGAGGGTGAGGGTCAGTGGAACAATATCCGATTTGAAGCCAGTCAAAAGTGATGTACCCCAAGGCATCATCTTAGGTCCACAACGCATGTCCTGCCCATCACCAGTGTCTTTCCCTAATTTGCTCTTTAGTTGGAAGCTGGTTTCCCCTCTCCCTCAGCAGGTTATTGCTGCTGGTATCTGGCCAATGGATCTAGAGTACCTTGTCTAGACAACTGCTTATAAATACATGTATATTTTTGATTATGGTTGTAGTAGTCTTTCACGTTTCAGCTCCGTACAATAAAACTGTCTTGATGATCGTATTGAAGATTCTCACTTTGAGGGTGGTTGACAATTGTCTAGAGTTCCATATGTTCTTCAACTGTAGGAATGCCGCGATTTCTTTTCCAACCCTTGCATTTACATCTGCATTAAATCCTCTTTGTTCATCGATTATGCTTTTCAGGAACGTGAAAATTCCTACTTGTCCCACAGCTTTTCTATTAAGTATGATTCCGTTGGTGCTCGCTGTGTTGTATTTCAGGGTTTTGCATGTTCTCTTGTGTATACTGAGGCCTAATGCTTCAGAGACCGTTGCTACTTCTATGTGATTTCTATGTCTGAATTAAGGACTCGGCTGGTATGTTGTCTGAAACTGCTCCTTCCAACCTCTTGACTTTTCGGATGCCCTTGCTAATTTATTCAATTTTTGGTGAGGTATTGGGAGGTCGGTATGTGCTGACTCGATGTCTGGTGGGTTTAGTAAGGTTCGCTCTATTCAAAAACCCTTCAAAGTGTTCTAACCACCTGTTTCGCTGTTCGTGAATCGCAGTGGTTTGCTTATCGTTCCCGTATGTGACTGGTCGTCCTGATCTATCGTGTTTTCCCGCCAAATTCTTCACCGTATCGTACAATTGTCTTCCCTTTCCTTCTCTTGTAGCCATAACCGTTGTCGTTTCTATGCTTTCTGCAGAATTCGTTTGCTTCTGTGAATTCGGCTTGTGCCGTGGCTTTCTCTGTTCTTGTTGTTGTCGTTTCGTTCCTTCTTTCTCGAATCTTCTCCAGGATGTCAACAGTGGTTCATTTTTTATGATGTTGCTGCTTGAGGCCCAGGACCTTCTGACATATTAGAGTTATTGCTTCTTTAATTTCACCCTAGTTATTCTCCAGTGTGTTTTCCTTCTTTAGTAGATCTTTTAGGAGCTGGGATTGACTGCTGAGACCAATTCTTATTATTTTAACAATTTACCATATATACTTCATGATCTCCACCTTTATCACACATTCTACGTGGGATCTATATTCCAGAAAAATCTTAAACATAGGTAAGAGAGTAGTGAGGAGCGTTTTTATTCTAAGCAAATTTATACATATTTTGCTAAGTGGATTAGGCTAGACGTGGATACCTACATTGTGACTAAACAGGCTTTCATTTTATCCTAAACTTCTATAAAGTTTAGTAGGAGAAAAGCAAACACATATAGTTGAGCACCACTAATTACATCCTTGGTATCTAAAACGTTATGATTAACCTGTTTCATGCCAAATATGGACACTTTCTACCGGAATGTTTATCTCTCTTTCTTTTTTTAACAGCGATTTACTGAATGTACCCATATATCAGCAGTAATACAAAGCTTTGACACTCCCAGGTTACCTGGAATATAACGATCAAACGTCAGTTGTTCAGTTTGAGTGCAGAAAATTAACTTGCAATTTTGAAGGGTGAACGAAAAAAGGCAGACTACAGAACACGCTTCACCGAGAATCGGGGTCAGACTTTACAAGAATAAACAGCATTTGAGAGTAACTGGAAAGCAGAGCTTAGGACAAATCAGGTTGGAGAATCTTGGCCGTCAACCTATGCCTCAATAGGAGTGGCAGACATATGGCGGTTATTTTGCTTGTCATATCACCTCCGTTTTTTTGTGAATTTCTTTACATATGGTTGACTAAGTCTTACCAGATAGTGTGCCTCTGCACCATTACAATCAAAAGTGTGTTCGCAGTGTTATGAAATAAAACTCAGCATTGTATTTATACTGATCTTTTTATGTTTGTTTGCAGTCGTAACATTTTTTCACGTGGTATTATTTTATTATCCTATTAGTTTTTCCCTTTAACTTAACATTTATTAGCGATAAATAACTCGTCACTGATAGGGTTCTATCAACGTCATACATTAATTTTGCTAGGTTTCACGCTTTCTATTTTCACCAATTAACGTTATTATATTTGCTCTTAACTAATACTGGATCTGATCATACCATTAAACTTAACACGTCTATCAAGTGAAATTATAACTGTCGCTGTTCACTTTATTAAACTTTATAGTTACATTACATACAATAATGTCATGGCCATCTAAAAAACATATAATCTTTACTGATATCTATAGCGCTTGCAAAATATCTAAATCAGTCACTAAAGCGAATGATGTGAAAACTTATAAACACACTGATCAGTCTGTATCCTACTCTGATCTTTCCTCAGCTACACTAAACGTGAACCGTTTACT